ACTTCCTGGCATAGAAATGAAACGCAAAGAACACAAGCAAACACAGATCGTTTACGTGGTTTGATCCAACTGGATCTACGTCCACGTGAGGGAATCAATCAAATAGTTCACTAAGGCAAAAGAAATGGAGAATACATAGCTGATACATAGAGACGAGCCCTCATCTTCCTTCTATGGCCTCCCTTTCAAGCGACGCCTTGATACAAGGCCTCAAGATGCTCTTCCCATCTCTTGCTCTCTAGTCATTATCTCCTCCTTTGTGGTAGCTTAAGATCTCTTCCCTTGCTCTCCTAAGCCTCACACCCTCTCTATATATAGAAGCAAGAGAGTGGTACGTGAGAGGTAGGTGAGTGGTATGTGAGCGGTACCACATTACAAAAGTATTCTTTTACCTTAATTCAATAATTGAGGGTCAAAATAACAATCATTAGTTATACATTTAATGGTCAAATCCTAGTTTTCATCGATTAAGTGTTATGCGTGTAAATATAAAACTTTAGGTGTGACATACTTAAATCCTTAGAAATTGTGTGCCACATACATAAATTTCCCTCAAATAAAGTCAAAAGAAAATGAAATAAGGTCTATATGTTAGCTCAGAAACATCCAAATCCAAAAAATAATTGAGCAACTAAGGCAGCAGCAAGCAACAAAAAATCAAGTACTCCAAACTAACGCAGCAGCAGCAGCAAGCAACAAAAAATCAAGCCCAGGAACCAAAATGATAATCCAAGAGCAACTTCATTAAGGAGATCAAATCAATACAGTAAACCACAACCTAAACACAGAAACAATTGAAGCACAAATAACCACAAACTTAAGTCCGCTAATACATAAGAGAAGCTCAATTGATGTTCATGATAAATCAGTATAGAGTAAAGGGTGCTGAACATTAAAACATTACAGTCATGCAGAAAACTGAATACAATGGTTGGCCAAAGCCATTCATCAATTATCCATCCAGGATAACAATTAAATGAGGTTGAATGAGCAGTCAGCTGAGACTCAATTGTAGTTGTTGGATATCATTAAAGCTGGCCAAAATCAGGCAATAAATGGTATATTTATGAGAAGAAAATAGACATCTGAATTCAGAGCGCACTATTTATGTAAAAAAAAATTTATTAGATAACCTGCAAATGTGCCCGGGAATATTCCCTTTAAAACTTCACATTTTGCTTTTAAGCCTAATAGAAAGTAAAACCCCATGCTCAACATGAGAGGGGACTTTATTGAACACTAGTATTTATTTTCAACTGCATAAAATGAGTAGTGATATACGCAATCAATAGAAAGAATCTCTTACTAACTTTGC